AAATATAGAACACTTTTTTATCATTGCAAAAATAAGAAAACTATATATATATATATATATATATTATTTGTTGTGTTTTAGTGATTATCCCCACCTATTTCTGACACTATTCTCCTTGGCTTCTTGTTGCTGCCTCTCTGCCCCCTTCTACTTGCTGTTGTCGCCCCTCCCAACCACTTCCTTGCTACTGCCACGCCTTTCTTAAACATCTTTGCTTGCTGCGGCCACCTCCTGCAGCGTGTCTAGCCTGATGCCACTCATCCCAATCCCCTTGCCTCTGCTCAGCCGGCTGTTTGATTGCTGGATAGCCCTCCAACCACTATTCCCCTAGCCACTGCTATGATCCCACTTCACCCTAGCAGGGTATTTTTGTTTATGCCGTGTTTTTCCTAGTTCAAGGTTGTTGATTGTAATCTTGTTTTGCTTTTTCATGATAAAATTTACTTTCACTGTTGGGTTTTGGGTTAACTTCGGTATGGATGCTGTTTATCTCTAGTATTATATACTATGTAATGCCAGTTGGTAGTTATGGAATGTTTATGTCTGTTTATGTCAAGACAGATGATTTTTAATAAACTTATGGTTCTCAATATTTTCAGTCAGCATCAAGCAACGGACACTTTTTTTATCCTTAAGTTAGTATTGCCATCGTTAAACAACGAAAACTTGAATAAGAGGTTCATATTTACGGTTGTGGTTCATTATTCATGTTTGTTGTAGCTGTTGTCCCTTTTTTTTTTTTTTTCGTGACACATTATTAGGTCTTTACATTGCGTACAGATTTGCATCTCCAACTCATTCATTTCAATTTGTACATGAGACATAATTATGCACCAAGGCATCATTTTTAGTGTTTTGCTACATTAAGTTTTACCATATTCGGATTCCTTAATATTAGTGGTTTGGATTCGGTGAACCTTTAATGTTTTACTAATGTGAGGATGCCTTAGTTGACAGCTGATTTTATGTCTGCAGTACTTCAATCAAATATTATCCGCTGTATTTGATGTTTTGAATGATTACGATTCTTCTATAAGGGAGGTTGCTCTTTCTTTGTTACTTCAAATGCTCATCCACCAGGTAACATTCAGCCCTTCACAAATGAAATTTTGTTTGTATTTTTTATTTATTTCATGGTTGCTGTTTGTTCTATTTAACAACTTTCGGTAGAAAGAGGCGATGGAAGATTCAGTTGAAGTTGTCATTGAAAAGTTACTTCATGCGGCTAATGATTCAGTTGCAAAGGTGTCATCTTCTTCGGCTTCTTCGGATTCTTTTGTTGTGTGTTTGCTTCTTAGCTATTTATCCCATACAGGTTTCAAATGAAGCACAACAATGCTTGTCAATTGTGCTGGCCCAGTATGACACCTGTAGATGTCTTTCTGTATGTGCCGATTTACCACTTTTTCTATTCATTAACTTTTTTTATTTCTTTTCTATTCCGGTGTAAATATTTTTTTCATCATTCAACGTTCTCTGTCATAATTCCGATGGGTTTTTCTTTTTAAGTAATTTGTGTTTTCCTATTTGCAGGTTATTGTGCCTTTGCTGGTCAGTGATGATGAGAACATGCTTGTTACTTGCATCAACTGTTTGACCAAGGTCTGCTCTCCGTCTCTATATATGTGTGTGTCTAAAGAAAATTATTATAACCAAATAATGAAAATGAGTGCACAAGCAATAATTATAGTGAATTGCTATATTACAATGTAAAACCAAAAAAATCATATAATGATGCCGTGCCAAAGTATAAAATATTCATTTAATAGGTGAAGAGCTGCATCATAAACTCATTTATACAGCCTTGCCTGAAGTTTAATGAATATTGGAGAGACAATACTTTTTTTTATCCTTTCTGATCTCCTAGAAAATATGATTTGAAATGTTTGTTTGCACTTTTCATAAGAGTTTCCTCTCAATCAGAAAGCGTCTCAGATTCAAGTGGTATGAACATCCTTGACGATAGTAATGATCAATGCTAAATTATTTGTCGGATCTCTAGTAAGAGTGACTTTAGGAAAAACTTGATTTATTGATGTCCACTTTAAAATCTAAAGAGTTTTGTTTGAGTAAATCTAAAACTGAATACATGGAATGTAATGTTAGTAGTAGTTGATCTAGGGGCGGGGTTGTTATAATTAGTGATCAAGTTGTTAAAAGAAATGAAGATTTTAGATATCTCGAGTCTATGGTTCAAAGTGATGGTGATATAGATGGGGATTAGTAGAATTCAAGTTATGATGCTTGAAGTGAAGGAATGCTTCGGGCCTATTGTCTGATAGAAAATTACAACTTAGACTTAAAAGAGGAAAATTTATAAGATGATGGTGACTAGCAATGCTTTATGGTGCAAAATGTTGGCTTGTATAAGAGAAATTAAAAATTAAGTGTTACAGAGATGAGAATGCTCAGGTGAATGAGTGGCTTTACACTTAGAGACAAAGTGTGAAACGAATATATCCGTGAAAGGATTGGAGTAGCTCCAATGACGAACAAGATTAGAGAGAGTCGTCTTAGATGGTTTGGTCACATTAAACATTGACCATCTATTGACCATGTTAGAAGAGTACGTGTTTTGAATTTTAATTTTGTGTAGAAAAATAGAGATAGACTTAGAAAGGCTTGGGCATGCTGTATAAAATATGATCTAAATTTATTAGAATTAAATGAAAATATGTTGCTCAGTAGGACACAATAAAGATAATAGATTCATTTACTTGATTCCACTTAGTGGTACAAAGGTTTTTTTGTTAATGTTGTTTACAATCTTCTTACATAAATCAATCTACTTCTAGTGAAGCTCAAATTTTTTCTTGTAACTTTATTCTTTGTGAGTTTTGTAATATTCAAAAGTTATATCTAATCTGATACCGTAGTTAACCCGAACTACGGTCAAACGACATATTTTATTGTTGAATTCCAAACCGCAACGACAAATCCTCAACATAAAACAACACAAACATGTAAACAACAAATGACGACGACGACACTGCAAAACAAGAAAAAAAATATCACAAAACACAAAAAAGGCTCTCTTGTGGAGAGTGGCAGGCCTGAAAGGGAGGGATAGAAGTGACAGTCGTGCTGGAAGGTGTTTGACAACCCGGAGCTGCGGTGCCGGATTACGGAGGAGTGAGGGTGGCTTGCTAGGAGTAGGCTGGTAGCAAGTGGCGGTGGTGGCATAGAAAGGAACAGGAGAGGAGGCGGTTAACTGGACAACTGCAGGAGTTAGTGTTGGAGGCTGGACAACAACAAGAATCGGTGCTAGGGGCTGGCCAACAACAAGAAAAGGACTGGAAGGCCGGTGCGGTTGTTGGAAGGTGGGTGGAAGCAATGACAGTAGTACGAAAAGGGACCGAAAGGCTTGTACGGCGGTTTGGAGGTAGCTGGATTGCTGGACGACAACAAGAAGGGGGCCCGAAAGGCTTGTACAGTGGCCAGGAGGCAGCTGGGTCGCTGGACGATAGTAGGAAGTGGGGCCAGATGGCTTGTGTGGTGGCCGGACAATAGCATGAAGAGGAGAAAAAACGAAGATACTCACCACCTCAGACGAGTTACAGTCGGAGCATCTTTTTGCCATCCGAAAAGGGAGATAAGCAAAAGGGAAACATGCCGAAGATAGAAGTCTGAAACTAGAGATAAGCAAAAACTCTCTGTAACCTAAGCAAACATCACATATATATAAGGGGGATTAGTGGATAGAGTAGGCAAGAAGTAAAATAGGTAAGAAATAGACAAGTGAGATAGAATAGGTAGAAATCAAAAAGGGAAGTGGGGCGGTAGGAGCGAGAGTAGTAGATCCCGCTCAAAGTCACGAGAGGAGGTGCGGGAGAAGACCCGTGTCAGTAGACGCGGGAGCGGGCGCGGGTGAAGCCCCTCATCATAATTTCATTTTTAATCATAATAAATTTTAAATAATTTAATTTCAAAATATCCTCTAGTTCTCCATATTCTTTTTTGATATTAAAAGTCAAATATATTCTGCTGTGGGAATATAATTTACAATTTTGTTAAAAAAGTCTCAATGCATCTTGTTTATTTGCTAGATAAATTACGTAATTGTATCTTAATTAATCATATGCAATCACAAATTCATATAATTTTCCTTTCTAGCTAATATTGCTAATAGTTTAAATAAACCCTTGGAAATAATTCTAGTTTTGTAGCAGTGATCAATATATATATATATATAAAATAAATTTTAAATAATTTAATTTCAAACTCTCCTCTAGTTTTCCATATTCTTTTTTGATATTAAAAGTCAAATATATTATGCTGTGGGAATATATTTTACAATTATGTTAGAAAAATTTTCAATACATCATGTTTATTTGCTAGATAAATTACGCAATTGTATCTTAATTAATCATCTGCAATCACAAATTCATATAATTTTCCTTTCTAGCTAATATTGCTAATAGTTTAAATAAACCCTTGGAAATAATTCTAAAATTTTAAATAATTTAATTTCAAACTCTCTTAGTTCTCCATATTCCTGTTTGATATTAAAAGTCAAATATATTATGCTATGGGAATATATTTTACAATTTTGTTAAAAAAATTCTCAATGCATCATGTTTATTTGTTAGATAAATTACGCAACTGTATCTTAATTAATCATTTGCAATCACAAATTCATATAATTTTTCTTTCTAGCTAACATTGCTAATAGTTTAAATAAACCCTTGGAAATTATTCTACGGCTGTGGGCTCTGCTAGGGTTTCGGCAGATGGCGATTTCTGGCAGTGACTTCCTCATTTTCTCGCTTCCTCACAGCTTTCTCGACTCGTAGACCTCCTTGTTGTCGACGCTCGCTCGCGTCGTCTCTTTTTCAAAGACGCCTGCTGTCACGGCTCGCGTCCTGCACGACACCTTCTTTGCAGCTTCCAGACGACTCGACTTCGCTATTAGACGAAGCGATTTCACATTTCCTTCAAGACGACGTCCTTGTTGGCCGACGACGACTCCTTCCCACTTCGCTAGTTCAGACGACGTCCTCGTTGCCTGCCCGACAGATCATCTTGTCGGTGGAGATGGCATCGACAATACATTCCTATGCCACTGCACTTGCCGGCGACCACTCTATTCCTACTCGTGCTTCTCTTTCAGATTCAGAGACTGGTTTTCGTATGGATAAATCTTGCAATGTTCTCAATCATTTCACAAGGCTCTTGAAGGTGTTGGCAATCACACCTTTATTAAAAAACTAGGAAAAAAATAGGAAATCTGCTCTTATTCTCAAGAGGTTGAAACCAATACTCTCGCAGTCGTGGTGTTTTGCTCTAGTGAGAAAATTTCTTTATGGTCACCCAAAACTTGAGATCATTTGAAAAGAATTTGATGTTATGAAGTTGTTGGGCAGTTGGAATATTGATTTACTTGACGGTCGACACATACTGATTTAGTTATCTCACGATGACGATTACACATCCATTTTTCTCAAAAAATTATCGAAATCGACAACCGTTATATGAAAATTATGAAGTTGACTATTGATTTTGATTCAAAAGCAGAGTCCCTTATCATTCCAGTTTGGATAAAGTTTATGGGGTTAAAATTACATATGTTCGACTTGAAAATTCTCTACTCTTAGCAACTGTTTATGATAAGTCTCTCAAGGTTGATAGTCCTACGCTTGCTGTCACCAGACCCTCTGTTACTTGTGTGTTAGTTGAGAGAGATATCACTCAACCAGCTTCGGATGAGATATGGATTGGAACCACTCACAACGGGTATTGACAAAAGGTTGAAATAGAATCACACTCTCCTTATTGCTCTCATTGCAGTATGTTTGGCCATAGATCTATTATTTGCTATCGTTTGCATCCTCATTTAAGGCTGAATATTGCTAAAAATCAGCCACCTGTCATCCCCGTTGAGAAGATGCAACCTGATCCTTCTTCTAACACTGCAGTTCCTAACGAATACTACCATACTGCAGCTACAAATCCAGTTGTGCTTATACCACTCACTGTTATTTAAGAAGACTCACTTATATGCCAAGTCACATGAGAGTGCTCCTTTGATCCAATAACAGACCAATCAGTACAATTTGTAGTTACTTCTAATGTTCAACAACCTGCACATCTCCAACACACTTTAGACCAAGATCAGGTGAGCCAATCTTCAGATGAGGAATGACAGACCTATTCCAGGAGGAAGAAGAAGAATGGAGGCCGACTCTAGCTCGGGAACATATTTGATGATACATTGGTTATTACTGGCAATGACAATCATCTTACCAATTTATTAGCTTGCTCCTTCCTTAGAACTAGAGATAGATGCAAGACCAAATTGGGTCGCTCTTTAGCCACCTGATATTTTGTATTTCGGCACTTTTAGACATTTTCTTTAAGTCTCTAATGTACTTTTTTTGTTTTTTCTAGTTTTGGAATCATTTGTGGTTATTGTGTTGGCAGGGTGCCATGCTTGGACCCTCCCACACATTGTATCTGTATTTTTCTTTTTAGTTAATATGTTAGTCTTTTTGGGTTTACAACTACACGTATTCCCCAAAATATAACAAAAAGAAAACTTCTAATCATGGTGGGTGTAGTCGGTGGATATACCGCTTTCCCTTCCCCTGGATCTAGGGAGGGAG